ATGCCGGCGTATTCGGATGCCTGCCCGCCAACCTGGCCACCAGCGATAAGATTACCTTTGAGGCCATCGCGCAGATTGTCGATGTGAATGTCCGTGGCTTCACCTGCGCCACGCGAGCTGCCTTGCCGAAGCTCTGTGAGACAGCCCATCTACGGCGGCCCTTCATCATCAACATGAGTTCCATCAGTGCTGTGCTGAGATTCCCTGGGTTTTCTGTCTATGCTGCCTCCAAGTCCTACGTCAAGACTCTGACCGACTGTCTGCAGGTGGACCTGCGGGGCTCGGGCGTCCGTCTGCAGACCTACATACCCTGTCTCATTTCAACTAAGATGACCAAGGTGCCACCCAGCAGACCCTTTGTGCCCACGGCGGATATCTTCGCCGCTGCGGCTCTGGACATGCTGGGCGTTGAGCAGAATGGTTGTGGCTACTTTTATCATGATGTGCAGTACCGGATCTTTCGTTTCTATCTGCTGATCTTCGGGGTTCGTGGCAGTGCCCGACAGAAGAAATCACAGTATAAGCGGAAGGACTAAATCAGGTAACTTTACGTCAAAACGATGAACTGGCATGTTTGTAGATGGGCAGGCTCACTCGAAAGCGCACCATATACGAACATACCGTATACGAACATTTAATTTGGCGAACTTATCAGGAAACCTGATCCCATGCACCAAATTTCATGTTTTGAAGCCTTACTGATTGATAGGCGGCGTGCTTTTCTTAGCAGTTCATGTAACCTTAAGCGATGTATTGTTTCCTGTAATAAAATTTTTCATATGTGGTTAAGAAATTAAAGATTTGACCTTTTGCTTGGGCCGTTCAGGTGGCAGGAGTTTCGCAATTTGGGATAGAAAACTGACTAGTGTCGGCCAAATGCTGAACTAGAGGCGTATTATCGATGGAGTACAGACAGGCCGAAATGGCCGTTGAACTCTTATGTCAGCTGTAACTAAACTGTAAAGTGGACAAATGTTAGGTTTGCGTCCAAATTCAGATGAGGTTCACTTCATAATGTATTTTTTTTCTTGAGCAAGCGGAGTTTGCGTTGTAAAGGAAAAAAATGCAAGCACAATTGTGCATTTTTCCGCAAGATAGACTACCGGTGTTTTGTTTCGCTTCATAATTGCTATGCGGAAATCACTTGAATCATTCAGAGAAGAGAAATGACAACTTAATTGATTTGTTGTGGTTGTCCTGATTTGGTTACAGGATCGAGCAGACCACATACACATTAAATTAATTACTAATTAATTAAGCTGTATCCGCGTTTGATGGATGTTACAAAATATAGATTCTATTGCCTAGAGCAGCGTATCTGAAAGCGCATTCAGTTAATGATCCAGTAAACTATTCCAAGTCACTGAGGATGCAGTGGGAGATTTAACAGAATATTCGGTGTTGACGGGACTTTAAGCCGATTGATGATGAACTTTGTTAAAAGGCAGTTGAAGAATCCAGAGCTTGCACTGTCCAATGGGCGCTTGGAT